CACACCAAAGTCAAGTCAAATTCCTTTAAATTTAACTCTGAATGACCTGCAGTCCGGTGCATTAAAACATACAGTGTTGTGTTTTCCTCTGTGACACTGAGGGGGAAAAACAGCTTCATTCTGCTGCAGCGACACGTCCGTCACTCACAGGACAGGACAGCAGACAGACACTCAAATGTCACATTAAAAAAACCCTCTCTTTCAACAGTGCACTTCCATTGTTTTTAAATTGAAGCTGATATTTTCACACAGACACAGAGTCAGTATTTATTTGCTCCGGGGCACCTGGCAGGAAATTAACCTGTTGGATCTGTGATTATAAACTTTTAATTTAATCACTGTAGCGTATATTATACAACCTGCTGATAACCCAGCTGACACTTCCTGTTTTTTTATTTTTGTTAAGGTTATTGGTGATGTAGTCACTTAAAATCAGGCCTCAGTTTCGTGTATCAAACCTGAATGGGTTAACCGATATCAGGAGGATTTCTCTGCTCTTTACAGACAACGTAGAAATGAAACAGTCTGGTTATGATGGCAAATTAAAGAATTAAGAAAATGTCGAACTGTCCCTTTACAAGGAGACGTAGCAGCTGAAAATCTTGGTTTTGCTCACCCCACTACTGTGATGCACAAGTATGACCTCGAGTACACGTCTACATCAGCACAGCTACTGTTGTGTTCAAGATCCTTAACCTTGTCAGTCCCAGCAGATGCTGTAAAGTGAAGCAAAATGACCTATCGTGCCTCAGGTGTTGACCTTTGACCCCACCAAGTAAGAACAGTCAATCACATGGTGTCATTTGGGTGAAACCAGAAGAAAAGATACTTCATTCCTTTAAATCTTTGTTGTTTTTGTTATGAGACTGTTATAAGCTTCAAGTTGCTGCCAGTTTAACCAAAAACTTGTTGATGATGGTTTCCTGTTACGTTTTTGGCCTGGGACTGAAAGGGTTAAAGGCCTTAAAGAATGACTTAAGACTTACTTAAAGGTCATAGGTCAGTCATTTAAACATAAATATGCAAATCAAATAATGTTCAGGTTTTTCTGTCCCTCCATCAACTTGTTTTTGAATGAAATAATATTAACTGATGATAGTCATTTTACTTTATTTTTTTAAGTCTTGTTTTATAATTTATTTTATTATTCTTTACTGTAAAACACAAACTTTGTTCTTAAAGGCTCAATCTAAATTAAATATTCGTATGTGGCTGAGGCGACAGTGAGGTTGTTGCTGTCGAGATGCCCTGGAGCGAGACGGTAAATGGAGCTGCTGCTCAGTGACGGATAACACGAGAATAAACTGGTCAGCTTACATACTGGACATTTCCAAGTCAGGAGGGTGAACATGCATCAGATCAGGTCAGACTGAGCATGCTCCACACACAACAAGTCCTTCTCTGATGAGTGTCTGGTTTGGGACAACAAACTGGACAAAGACTCAAAGTTACGACACATCCAATAATGATATTCTGGGTTAAAACGTAAACAGTGTTAAAATGAGTGAGTGGGGAAACATGACATTAAAAGAAAATTGGTTTATTGTGTCAGTCCGCCTTAAACCGGACTTTTAAAATCCATATAAACATGTTAGTCTGACTGAAATCGTACTAAATCGAATTTCTCACAGTCGAACTAACACACCCAGATAATGTGACTAAGGGTGGACAGTTTCCGCCCCGGGCTTTGACCCGGAAGTTCAATAGCATTAAATGTGTAAGAGAAGAAGAAGCCGGTAACAACATGGAGAAATCTACATCCAGAGCCGTGACTTTTTGGACGGACCAAATGTACAGAGCTGTAAAGTTGTCCACCATGGTAGCAGTTAGCTGCTAGCTAACCGTAGCTAACTTGTTTGTCCATTGTTTGGTCTGTGACGTAATAGGTCAACAGGAAAAAGGTCCAATACTAACAAGCTGAAAGGGGGCATATCTCCACCTATCGTAGAGGAGTCGCACATACTTGGCTCAATAAATGGATTCCCCTCCCGTGCTTGTATACTGGGACAAGGACAGTAGGCCAGTTAGATGTCCTCGTCCAGCTGGAACTGTAGCTTCACTTCACTGTGACTGGAACTGTAGTGACTGACACAGGAACGACTTCAAAGTGAGGCGTCTTGGTTTATCCAGTATCATCAAATCAAGAGCATATCGCGGCACAGCCATGGTTTAAGTTTTGTGCTGGTAAATACGACAGTCGATGACAAGCAGTGAGTACATTTCTGTATTTGAGCACTGATGTGCATTTGTGTGATCTGTGCAGAACAATCTGAGCTCACTTTTCTTAGACTTCCTCAGGTATCGTCATGTGACCTCAGCGTGGGACACTTTCTGTCACCGATGCAGAACAAAAGGTCCAAAATGCTGGTAAAAGTTAAGATGGTTCACAGATTCTGAATTTAAGCAGCGGAATATTATTTCTGTCGGTCAGTTCTCAGAAATCACCAGCTGTTACATCTGATCTTGACTGACGGTCTTCACTTATAATTATCTTCATTAAATTTTACTGGACAGTTGTTTGGCTCTCAATGCTTAAAATCCAGTCGAACCTGCTGTCTATCATCAGGCCGTATAGCTCTGGGTATCCAGCAACCACTACCACCAGTTTCTCCTCCATTGTTTACCAACTGTAAACTTGCTGTCATGACCACCACAGAAGGCCCGCCTCTCAAATCATTGGAAAATGGGGAAAAAGCGGAGATGACGTGGGGCGCTTTTCTGCTCTGAGTTGAAGTTTTTATAACTTGAGGAGTTCAGAGCGCTCTGGCAAAACATGGCAGGCGTGTGGTAACGCAAAAACAGCAAGCAAAAAGTTTCAGTCTCATTAAAAACAATTACAAAAAGCCGCCTCCAGCTGCTGAAACACGTTCTGTGTGATCGGGGCCTTATTTAGCAAAAGTGCCTGATGAATTCCTTAAAACTTCTAAACATCACACCTAAAATAAAAATCTAAAATTTAACTAAACTCTCGTCCCAAACCAGACACACACAGCTGAAAGTGGTTTATGAAGTGTCCATGAAGACATGTTAATGCTGATGAATCCCTCTTAAAGTTTCATTTTCTCAAACTCCCTTTAAATAACATCGACAGGGGAAAAAACATATTAAAAAAAGAATAAAGCCATAATCTCTGTCACTATTTAGCAGCTGAGAGTGTCAGAACTGCTGCACAATGTTATAACCCGCTGATGAAAAATGTCCTCTAGTTGGCACATTATTACACAAACTCTCGGGTTTGATTCAGTCATAAATAATTCTATCTACACTTTTTTATAATACAGATTTTACAGGTATTAGACAGTGGTCGTAATAATCAGCAGTAAATGCAATAATGTGACTTTTTTACATCGTCTTAATTTTAAATTTTAACCTGTTTAAAGGACATTTTCTGTCATTTTGATGAGTAATTACATTAATCAGAAGTTAGGACGTCTCCAGCTGCTAAAAGCCCTCATACAGTGTTTTCAGTGAGAATGTTTTGACTCTTTCCGTCTGTCTGTCTGTTAAATAAGTCAAATAAAGCCTTCAACGACTTCCTCCTGTCTAAAAGATGATGATTCTGTTCTGAGAAACCAACCAGGTGGAAAAAGAAGGTAATAGCTGAGCGGTTTCCCAGAAAGCTGACGTCAAACAGCACTTTTAGAGCCGCTTAATGTTACTGCGGCCTCCAGGTCCTGGTGAAGATCCAGATTCAAGCAGAGATGATGAGAGATTCAAAGGTAGTGCTGAATTTCTGTTTTATTGTGTGTTTGATGCAAAAAGTAAGAAAGATCCCTTATGAAAAATGTGATCCTGCCGGAAACATCCAACGACCCTCTGACGTGGTAAATCCAAGCAGAAAAGAATCAGTTCCTGGTGGTTGGGACCTCTCCATGAGGTGTTAAGGTAAATCTGAGGGGTGCGCAGTAAGAAAAAAAAAACTGTTTTGTGACAAAGACTCTTCCAAACTTTGCTGGATACATTTCGTTTAACAACAACAACCAAAAAAAACCCCAGTGTTATTTATGTCTAACCAGAGGCAGTGGGGGAGCCTGTTAGCAGCAGTTAGCTTAGCGTTTGTCATGTCGATCAAAGGGTTATGTTGATTTAACATCTCATCCACACCTGTCGCCATTTTTCGTCCTCTGGCACAGAAAGATGACGCCACTTCATCTGGCCTACAAACGATCTGATTGGCTCAAAACAGCTGACAGTGAACACAACACCCGACCTGTTTGAACTGCTGGAAAAACTCGTGGGCAGTAAATCAGATGTTTGAAACCTCAGCTGAGACAGTTGTGACAATCATTTAACAATGGAGGAGGTTTAAAAGGGAAAGGAACAGATGGACGGATCGTCTCAATCATCACTGCTTCATTTTAAAGACTTGAGAGCTAAAAAAAGGAACAAAGAGATGCTGAGAACGTTATCAAAACCTTGTTTGGTCGTCTCCCTTGTGTTTAGATGGATGAGACTTTTCAGATCTGACCAGCCAAAAGAGACGTCCTTCAAGTTTTCTGACTTTCAGGAACACTTCACCCCTCAAATGACCATTTTCTATCAGTCACCCTGTGTCACGCTGAATTCCAGGAGGAAAACTTTGTTTTTCTTGCATCATCACCGTGAATGAAGATTAAAAAAACTGAAAAAATTCTTGACAAACTGAAATCACAGGGGTCCACGTTCAACAACAGCAAAACTTATCCAAGCTTCCAAACAGACACCTCCGACGGGGAACTTATCCATGCTCTCTCCAAAGCCAGACTCCTTTGACAAAAACAGTTATTTTACTTTGCTGAACACGAGAGGCTGCTGGTCTACGGCTGCCTCCATCAGTTAGTTCATGTCTTTGGACTGTGGGAGGAAGCTGGAGCACCTGGAGGAAACCCACACTGACACGGGGAGAACATGCAGACTCTGCACAGAAGGGCTCACCAAAGGATTCACCAAAGTCACACAATGACACAAACAAACTATCTGATCGAGGTAGTGGTCGACCAGCAGCTCCTGTGGTTGGTGAAGTAAAATTACAGTTTTCATTGGTGGAGTCTGGCTTTGAAGAGAGCATCAATACATTTCACTTTCAGTTCAGTTCCCCGCCAGAAAGTGCCGTCTGCTTGTGAAGTACTGAGCTTACGACTGGATAAAAAAGACTTCAATTAATCAGGAATGTTCACTGTTTTTGGAGTCTTCATTCACTGTAGAGGCATGGGAGAACAATAAAGTTTTCTTTATGAATTTATCTAGTGATTGATATACAAACAATCATTTGCAGTGTTGCCTTTAAATGATGCGACTTGTTTGGTTGTTTTTCCTGATTTGAAGGATGATAGCGGTGTCTTCTCAGTTCCAGTATCCAAAGCGCGACTTGGCGACCATGATCTCAGAGGGAAAAGTTCAAAACCTTAAAACTTTGATGTAGCTTCATATTAAAACTGTCCAAGAGTCTTTGTCCTCTGGGAAAAAAAACCAACAGACCGAAGATTTGAAGTTTCAGAGACTTAAAAAATTTCAGCTTCTTGTCTGGTGATTTCCTCGACTGCCTGATAATGAACGTTGACTTCTGACCTTATTTTCCCTTTTACAAACCAAACCTCGCTGCCTTGATCATGCTTACAATCAGACACACACACACACACACACACAGAGGGGTGGAGAGACGATCAGGAGTTTCCTGGACTTGTTCAACTCTGAAGCTTCTCATCGGGTCGTGTTGTGTTGATGCTCTGCTCTGCATTTTAATCCTTATTTGACCTTTTTTCTTATAAAATCCTGACTGCCAACCTTGGTCACACTCGGAACAGCAAATCTGACATCCTGACTCACTGTGGCTAAAACTTTCAGTCCTGCAGAAGATTCCCTCTGCTCTGATTTTAATCATCCAGATGTGTAGTTAAAAAAACAGGGAAAAAGAAAACGTTCACAGCGACACAGCTGATCCCTCTGGACATGCACCAACCTGAGCTTCCACCAGTTTTCTTGACTTCAGACGACTCCACGTTACAGACCGACAAACAGCTCTCGGCTCAGTGTTTTAACCCTTGGTGAGAGAAGTGTGTTCCTGTACGAGCTCTTCAGTCCAGATGAGCTCCGTCTGCTACAGCCGGATCAACTTTCAGGATCTTAAATGAAGACAAAGAGCTGCTGGATTCACATCGACGAGGCAAAGAGAGCTACAGAGGACAGGACGGAGCGCGTCACTCCGACGTCCACCAGGCGGCAGCAGAAAGGTGAAGAATACAAGCAGGTGAAGGCAGCAGGGATCCTGGGTTTGCCGGCTCTCCTCTTCTCCCTCACAGGGACAAACGCTGCGGGAGTCATCAGGGACGTGCGGGACGTTGTGTTCCTGGATCATCAGCATTCGAGTGGCGGGTGGAAGCTGCGTCTGCAGTCGACGGCTTTTGGGCTGGGAGGCTGAGCTCGCTTCTTGCGGAGCTCTTCTCGACCCAGAGTGCTGCTGAGCCGAGAGTACGCCGCCTTGTACTTCTTATCGAACGCAGCTGCAGGGAAACAGAGAGTAGAGCATTATTATTTTGTCTCGACACACACACACTTCATTTGTGTCAATCACACAGCAGCTAAGTGTGTACATCAGTGCTCCAATAAAATGTGCACTTCTTGCATAAAAACTTTGGGGTTAAATACATTAAAAGAGATTCCAATATTGGCTGGAAATTGTTGCCAAAAATTCCGTCCTTTCCCGATAGATAACTGCAGGATGCTGTGTTTTGGTGAGTGTGTTCCTGTGTGTTTGTACACTGAAGACAAACCCAGCTTCTCAAAAACTCAGGGCTGCCCCCTGATAGTCGACCAAACGTTAGTCGACCAGAAAGGTCATTAGTCTGCAAGATTTCACTGGAAGCTTAGTTGCAGGAAAAAAAAAACATACCGTGAAACTCTATCAGGAGCTGCACCTTGTCAAAATAAATCCAAACCTATACGACTGGAGCATGTGTGACTTTACTTTGAAAGGACAGACACAGGAAGTGTCCACACTCAGCAGTCAGACAGGAGTCAGGTTAATTTCCAGGGCTGGTACCTGCGGTTATTCCACAGGCTAGTTAATAACATGCCGTTTTTTAGTTTTTCATTAGTTTTTGCAGATGAACCCTCCAGATTAGTGTTGTCACGGTACCAAAATTGGGACCCACGGTATGATACCAGTGAAAATATCATGGTTCTGAGTAGTATCACGATACCACAACGAAAATGAGGCAGATGTGCCTTTTGTCATTTATAAAAAGATAAATCACTTTTCTATAATCACATCACATATCACATCAATGATATTTCAATGGAATAAATTACTTATTGACTTATTCATACTTCAAAACCAGCATCAATCAGTGATTAACATAGGGGGGATCAAAATAAAATGAATAAATAAAATAAAAATCAACCAGCCACCCTCCTCCCCTGACAAGTAAAGAACAGTCCCTAAAGTGCGGTGAGGTTTGTGGAGCGTTACCTGACACAAATAGAGAAATGTGAACGGCTCGTTTCTCCTCTGACACGTCACATACCTGTGTGCCACCACGGCTTGGTTGTCCAGGTACTACTGGGCAGTCATGACAACAAGTTATTCACCTGGAGCCGGACTTCTCCGTCGCCGATAAGCCTATGGTCGCCGTATTTGACAGGAATACATTCCTGTCTGTGTCTGTGACCCCCGTTCAACCCACAACTGGCAGGATTCGCCTTTTGTTTCTGCTGCTGGTTGAAATCTGTACTGGCAAAGCATGCTGAATGATTATTTTGCTCAAACAAAACTATTTTTAGTCGCAAATGCGAGTGCAGTGATGGACAGAGTAAAATATCGCCACACTGCCGACATTTTACTCTGTCCGTCACCGCGTGCTGTTTGATTGTGTTATCAAAACACGTCGCTATTATTCGGCCTTGCTTTTAACTTATTCCACCGAATACCGAATGTGTGTTTTTTTGCAATATTCAGCTGAATATATTCGGTTACCGAATATTCGGTGCATCCCTAGTAGCTACATGCCCATTAGCCCACAGCGTCATTAACAGGCGGCTCGCTCAGCGTGTGACGTGCACTTGGAGATAAAATATAGGCCTATATTAATGAAGGTTCATTAGTACGGTTTGTATTTCTCTGTAATGTAGCACAGTGTTAACAATGTTACTGATACTATTCTTTCTCACACCTTCAACTCAAACCACCAAAATATATCATTTAATAATTACATTCATATCAGAAACATGCAGGAGACTAGTCCACTGATGGACCAGGATGATGAATACTGGTTGACTTGGAAAATTCTCAGTCAGGGGCAGGCCTACAAATCCTCAGGGACACTAAGGACCCTGACACACCATGCTGACGGTCTGTCGATGTCAGGCTATGGGTGAGCATATATTGCCCCATTTTTTTGCAGTGTGTTTCACACTGTTGGCACTAGTCGGTCGATATCTGCAGTTTTTGGCCAATATAGATTTTTTACGCGGCTTTGTTTTCAGCATAGACGCACAGTAAACAAGCTTAAAAGTGAAAGCGAGGCTGTTGTGGCATGCAAGAGTTCCCAAGCGTGTGTTTTTTGGGCGTGACTGCTGTACCCTAAGCTAAACCTCCTCCCCTCCTCTAACCAGTTAAACTCCACCTTGATTAAAGTTAGGTAGGTTTTTCTCCTGTTAGTTTCTTCCCTTATCAAAATGAGGGAGCAGGGGGAGGTGGAGTGTACGGCCCGGTCGTGGGAGAGTTCAGTCTGCACAAACATCTCTCCTTGGCTCTGCCTTCCCTGTGCTCCTTCTTACTTTTCTGTCCACTTGAACTCTTTGCTCCACTCGGCAACCCCCAGATGGCACTATCTCCCCACTCATAGTCTCAAGTGTGTGCATCAAGGGGTTGTAACATCTAGTCCTGAGCTGAACTGAACTATCTAATGAAACAGTTGCATCCAGAGAATCTTACCGACGTGATCTTTGCCCATAGCTGCCAGAGTGAGGAAGAGGAACTCTCTGTACAAACTCCTGTCAAACAAAACAAACACACAACACCCACCATCATTCAGATCGATGTCACATCACTGCGTTCAAAACTTACACTTTAAAGAGACATTCTGCAGTTACCCTGAGTGAGAAAATAAAACCTGGTGATCAACTTTCTGATCATATAAACACATGTACAGTACATGTACGTTGTGTTGAGAGTTTATGGAGAAATTACAACTCATGTGGAGGAAAACATGTATGCTTTCTGTCCTATTTAAGCATGAAGTCGTGGTGCACATTGGCCTCTTGTGGCCAAAATGAGTACTAACAAACACTTAAAAAAAAAAGATCCTGACAAAGAAAAAAATTCACCTGCAGAAATATTTTGATATTGTCTACAGATGTTCATTGTTTTAAGGGACCTAGACCTTTTTGTATCTGTTCTTCTTGAACCACAAACAGAGGAACAGAGGAGAGAAAACCATTCAGATTTATATCGGAATGGTTTTCTCTATATCCTCTAGAACATTCACATTTCACTTAATTTATTCCACCAGAAACTGTCCACTCTGGGAGCTGTTCAGCAGTAAAGAAAGTTCTCCTGCTTTAAGTAAAAACATTAAAACATATTTAAAAATGCAATGATGTCATATCGTGACTTAAATATTGTCTTAATATCATATCATGGATCCTCTGGTGATTCCCACTCCTACTAATGACGAGGGACAGGTTAACAGATCTTTTATCTATGCTCTGTGCAGTGTGAATATTTACATGGTTAAACACTAAACCGTACCTCTGCGTCCAGGCGGAGCCCGGCTGTTTGGCCAGTGTGTCCAGGAAGAGGGTGACGGCTTTGTGCACCTCGTTCATGCCGACCCAGCGCAGCACCTCCTCCAGGAAGGCCAGCGTGAACGGGTGGTTGTGTTTCCGCCAGCTGTAGCTTCTCATCGGGACGCCACCTGGTGGAGGACAGAGGAGGGAGGTGGAGGAGCCTCATTAAAAAGAGTCAAACACATTGTAACAGTTGGGGTTCTTGTTCCTGTGAGTGTGAGGTGTGTGCTCGTCTCACTGTGGATCCTCCAGAGGAAGTAGAGGGGGGGCCACTGGTCTGTGTCGGGGGTCAGGGTGTCCCAGAGGAGCCTCACCCTCACTGCTGAGTTCTCTGCCTGGAAAACACACACGAGTAGAGGAAGAAAGTCTGTGCATCAGTGTGTTGATGTCTTTCATTTCAACATCTAACTTTATTTATTGGGGTCAAACTGTTTGATCTCTGCTTTGGTTTTAGGGTATCTAATATTTCTGGGCTGAATAAAGCTTCAATCACACAGAGAGTGTTTTGCAGGTTCCAGGCAGAGGGTACTGTGTGTAGCTCTGGTTGAGGGTGAGAGGCTGTCAGCAGATAAACAGAGATCTGTGTGGGTACATGAGACCCTAAAAAAGAGGCTGGATCATGGGGAGTACCACCAGTTGGTCCAGGAGCTTCTCCTCCATAATGGACGTTTACAGGCAGATTTTAGGATGACTCAGGGGCAGTTTGACAACCTGCTGTCTATCGTCAGGCCATATAGCTCTGGGTATCCAGCAACCACTACCACCAGTTTCTCCTCCATTGTTTACCAACTGTAAACTTGTTGTCGTGACCACCACAGAAGGCCCGCCTCTCACATCATCTGATTGGACAACGGGGAAAAAGTGGAGATGATGTGGGGCGCTTTTACGCTCTGAGTTGAAGTTTTTTCAACTCCAGGAGTTCAGAGTGCTTCAGCAAAAACGCCAGGCGCCTAGAGTGCAAACAGGAGGGACGTAGCGACGCAAAAACAGCGAACAAAAAGCTTCATTCTCATTAAAAACAATTACAAAAAGCCACCTCCAGCTGCTGAAACACTTTCTGTGTGATCAGGGCCTAAAGAAGCAAAATCAGTTTGTCACTCTACAAAAATATGAAGCTGTCATTCAATGACTGTTGATATTAAGATACGATAGGATAGGACACAACTTTATTTACTCAAGCGTCCGTGGGTATCTTGAAAGGTGCTTACAAATAATATTTGTTAATATTTTTCCGAGGGAAAATGCAGAGCAGAGGTTGAAACACAAAGTGGGAGAGAGTGGAAATCTAAAACCTGCAATAACAAATGTTTAGTTGTTTGTACTTTAACTTAGGATCTGAGCTGCTGTAGATGAAGAAGAATGTGAAGCTGTATCTCAGCAGCTTTTTGAATATTTTTCTGAACCGGAAAATCAGCTTTTGTTTCAGAAGTCGATGCGTGTTGAGCACGTTTATCTAATATGTAGCTGTCCGGTGAAAACAGAGCTCTTTGTCCAGTAAGTGTCATTTGTGAGCCTTTATTTCCATATGTTTTTATGTTTTTAGAGCTCTTTCTTTCTGTTCTTGTGCAGCTGCCTCTGAGCTGTAATTAGCTCAACCTTTTGTTACCGATGCCTCAGTGCTCTGTGTTTCAGACTATGTGCTACCTGTGTGAACTGGCTGACCAGCGGCGAGGCTTTGACCAGCTGCAGCAGGTTATTGGGCAGACCGAGGCGCTGGAAGTACCACACCAGGTTCCAGAAGATGATGGAGTGGTTGTCCAGGAACTGAGGCTGGGCCAGGACCGCCTCGCCCTCGTTCTCCAGCAGACTCTCCAGCTCCTTCCTCAGGACCAGAGGGCTCAGGTAGGCCACCGCCACCTGAGGGGTGCCGCCCACTGACGAACCCTGAGAGAGGCGGTTAAAAACTGTCAGTTCGACAGGAAGTACAGGGAGACGAGGGGATGAACAGAAACATTAACAGTGAGTGTTACCGTGGTGGTTCTGCTGTTCTCAGAGTAGCTGCTGGTCTCGGAGCTGGAGTCCTCACTCAGACCGTTACACTGGTGTCGCAGGGAGGCCTCCTGAGCACTGGGGGGCCTCACTGCGCTCTCCACCTCGTCCTCCACGTTCCAGTTGGTGCGCTCCGCACTGAGGAAAAGGACAAAGAGGAAGACTTAAAGGGTCAGTTTTTGATCTTTTGCAGTGGAGTTGTATGAGGTACGTATCCATAGTCAGTATTTTATCAACATGGCAGTCAGGAAGGTCACCGACACAGAGGCTAAGCAATACTTCTGTGGGAAAAATTAATTCAAGTGTACGCTATATTAACATTTTCACCGCTTTACCTTACTGTCAGACAGTGATTCCCAACAGGGAACTGAAGCTGTTATATCGCTCTCTGTAAAGCCAGACTCCACTGAGAAAACCAATGATTTAGCACAGCTGAACACAGGAGCCGCTGGTGACGGGTGTGACATGTAACACAACAGCATCAGCCTCTAATGTGACATATAACACATGCGTCAGCAGCACTTTATAAACAATACCATGGCATTAACATGTCAGGAACAATAATTTACCGTCCCTGTTATATGGCGGTTGATCTCGTCCTCTGCTCAGAGGGGAAGGAGCTCCTGGAGTTCGTTGTTTTCCCAGTGTGCAGACATTTTCAGCCGCTGTTGTTCTTCTGTGAGTTCTGCTAACTGCTGCTTGCTGCTTTTTAAATCCCCTGGTGGCAAATTTGCAAATCCTGGGACAGTGAAGAAATGACCCACCCTACTCTCTCTATGATTGGCCAGGTTGGTTGGACTGGGTAGGGTTAGGTAGGACCCTACATACCAGAGTGACGACACTTCCATTGACTCCTGTGGTATGATGAAGTTAAGCCTCACGCGCCCTCTAGTGGGGCATGAGGGCATTACCTTTCCGACCAGGAAACCCATTCACTTACAGTATGCAGTGAGCACTTGCTTCTAAGTTGATGAAAACAGCCTTGTTTTTACTTTTAGGTGTCTTGGTCATATTAAGTCATGCTTATAATTTGTTTATTTCAAAATGTAGAGAGTAACATTATGATAGACAACTGTTTGTCTTGACTCTATTCCTTCGCCATCCGAGAACATACAAACTCACCTCCTGGCAGCAGGTCGCACACGTAACAAGTCGTCAAAACGTCACACCCATGCTATCTGTAGTCACGTCCTGTCGGCTGTCCCTTTTATATAGATGGTCGTTTTGCTGCTGTTACTATCTCCCATGCTGCCTTAAATGTGAGACAACTCTGCCCCCTATTCTACGACTGTTTCTTTTCAGAACAGTGAGGGGGCAGATTGGGGTGAAATTCCTGCCTTGAAGAAACAGTGTAAAAGGGGCTAATATCACAAACAAACTGATCAAGGCAGGGGTAGACCAGCAGCTCCTGAGAGCATAGATGGGGAACTGAAGCCGCTAAGGACTTCAGAAATTACTGTCGGAGATAAAAGTACAGTGAAAATATTCTAAATATAGTGTACACTTAAACTGATATTGATTTTAAAGTATGCCTCTGACCCTGTCCACAGCAGTGCATTGCTGAGCTTCTGTGTCAGTACTCCTGCCTGCTTCTCCAAACTGGGGGCGTGTCATCTGACTTCGACTGTAGGATGAAACACCTCATACAGCCCCGTTTTAAAAGATCCAAACTATCCCTTTAAAACTGAGTGATGTTAGCTGAGACTGTATCTGACGGAGCTACAAATTTAGCTCTGTCATTTTTAAACAGTTGGTCGTCCTCGTTTCAGTCTCGCTGTCTGGAGAAAACTCTGGATTAGACACCAAACCACAGACGGAGGGCGCTGTGACAGATCGGGTTCACTGGTGGACGTCTTTACCTGCTGACAGGTCCGAGGTCACAGATCTCGGCGTTCAGGAAGGGCACGAAGGAAGCACAGCAGAACGGGCAGGACGAGTTCAGGTTGGAGTCGTCCGACGTCCAGCCGGCCATGATCTCCTCATCATAGACTAAAGAGTTACAGCTGCGACACAGAGAGCAGCTGGACATCAACACCTGGACACACAGAGAGGGTGGGAGGAGTCAGAGGCTGTGACATCAACACTGAGGGGACGGTAACAACAGACCTGACTATAGGACGCAACAAAACCACGCTAACTGCTGCTGTCATTTCCTGACTAATGATCTGTTCACCTCAAGCCCCGTCGCCTCTTGGTTGGCGTCCCACGACCGGCGCAGAGGATAGGCGGGACTGGGCGTGTCCGTCAAGTCGAGGTCACTTCCTACAGACAATGAACTCTGAGAAAAGACGACATGGAGTCAGATAATTTTATTACATCACCACCACATGATTCTGTTTAACAAACATTAGAAGTCACAGAAAAATTATCATCATTTTTTCTTAATTTATTTTGATTTTTTTTTTTTATTCATAGGAAATTAAATTTTAAAAAGATGCAATAATAGTTTACCTCTATATTTAAAAAATATATTCATTTAAAGGTGCTTTATACAAAAAAAACTGCTCGTCATTTTTCTGTTTTTGTACATTTTGCTTTTATGTTTGTACATTTTGTAAAGTAACCAATATCGAAACTGATATCTAACAGTTACAAGTTGTGTTTAATAAAATAAAGACAACAGGTCAGAATAAAGCAGATTCAAAGAGTCAAACCTCTGAGGTAGCGCTGACCAGCCTGTCTTTGGCCTTCAGCAGTGTTTCTGCCACTTGAGCTTTCCTGGACTGCCTCTGTTCAGACACTCTTCGTCCTATCCCCCCTCCTCCTCCTCCCCCCCCTCCTCCTGGTCGCCGGTCGTCAACGCTGGCGGCTCGTCGAACAGACACTCGATGTCTCGTCGGAGTGAGAAGCTGCTGGAGTTTCCCTGCCAGACCTCCTCGGCTCGGGGAGGAGACGTTGTTGTAGTTCTCGTCTACGACTTTATTTCTGCCGGATGAGTCTCGAGTCCCGGCAGGTCTGCAGGTCAGAGACGGATGAGGTGAGTTTAACAGAGCTACAACAGCACCAGTGTTAAAGGATACAGGGCCTGCGTAGGTGATGTTATTTTGTTGTATTTGCACTCTTTCCTACTTTATCTTATTTCACAAGCAAAACCAAAGCACGTTATGAAACATTAGAGCGCCATAAAACATCTCAAACTGACATCAAAGACGGGCTGGAAATATGACTGAATAAAGCAGGTGAGTAAAGATCAGTTAATAAAAGATTATCGTATTAAAGAACAAACAGATTCTGAGGTTACTTTTCGTCTTAACCGACCTGCCGTCTCTCTCTGCTGGCTGACAGCAGTCTGGCTCAGAGTCGGCTGACTCTGCACACTCTTTGTAGAAGGTGGAGAGGCAGACTTGATTCCGCCGCACTAGAACACCACCGGGGGGCATCGGAGGCGGGGTGGAGGTGTCTCTGCGTCCAATCGGAGGCTTACGGGAGACTGCGTCACCGCAGCCGTTGGTCCCTGCATTGCGGAGGATGGTCTTCTTGCAGAGCTTCAACTCTGTGGCACAGAGAGGAGAAAGAGGAGTTAAAACAAACTGACAGAAACAGAATACTGGACAGTCTGTTTTACAGGAGATGAGAGAAAAAATGTGGTGTGGAGATAACAGAGAAGAACTGGAATAACACATGGTTCAAAGTCCTGGTGAGAGTTCTGTTGAAGGAACAAAATGTGACTCCTTTTCGACAGTCATGGGTTTGGTTTGGTTTGGTTTGGTTTGGTTTGGACTGGACCGTCAGCCCGGCGCGGCAGGGATTTGCGTTTCCATTACAACAGGGCTACCTGCTTGAAGGTGTGTCTTTAACTGATGACGTTTAAAAACAGCAGCTGACCCACAGATAAAGTCCCCTGTTATTTTTGCTGTGTGTGTTCTCCCACAGCAGGGCAGGTAAAAGAAGTTCACCTGTTGGAGGTGAGCTGTTTGCAGAGGTGCAGGAAGAGCTTGATGGCTGATAGCGAACATGAAACAGTAAAATAAAGCAGATATGTAAAGTAAAAACAGGATGCAGGAGAGAAACTCCAAACCACAGAGATTCAGTTAGAAGCTACAGACGTACTGAGAGCTGAACACACAGAGACTTTTAAAAACACCTTTCCCTCTGGTCTCCTGCAGACAGAGGGGAGGAGAGTCTCACAACACACACTGCTTGTTTGTGGGGAGAAGGCGGGTCGATGGGGGTAGGCTTAAGTCGGCGAGACGTCACCGCTACCCACTTAGACCTACTGCGGAGAAGGTCCGTGTCTAGCACGGCTCAGCGTGTCACGTCAAGTCTAAACTGATAATGGAAACTGGAAATCAGCGTGACATGGCGTGATTTGGAACAGCCAAAAGTGACAGCAGAAACGGCCTAAGAGGGTGATGAGCAGACAGATGATGAAGGTGAGGAAGAGGAGGACATGATGCAGTTTGTGTCTTACTGTCAGCCGGCGCCTTCATGCTGTTCAGACTGTTGCTCTTCACCAGCGAGCCCGTCAGAGACTCGTGACTGGAGCTTTCTGACAGACCGCTCCAACTGGACTGACGAATTAGAGTCGACTGGGGACGGGGCCTCTGATCCAAGTCCATCATGGTTTCTTTTAATGGAAAGAAAAAAAAAAAAAACAATCAGAATTTTATCTTAAAAACAAAAGTTACAGCATGACTCTGGAAAATCATGTCTCTTCATCAAATGTATGCAGAAAAATACTCATCAATAAAACCATGCCAACACATGATCAGTGATGGAAGAAGTATTCAGATACTTTACTGAAGTAAAAGTACAACTACTGCTCTGTGAAAATACTCCACTACAAGTTAAAGCCCTGCACTCACAACTATACTTTAGTATGTGTCGGCAAAATGTGGCAGAAAAATTTAAAGTCAAGTCGAAGCACAGAAATAAAATATTGATAGAATATTTTCTGACCTCCTCGTGACCACACAGAGCCGCTCTTCTGACGCCGTTTGACTGGCTGTCTGAACTGGGCCACAGCCAACAGCACGTTCCTTAGCTTGGCCCAGCGGAGACGTCCTCCCTGATTGGTGGACGGCCACTTGCTCTCCAGCACTGCCTGAGGACAGAGGACATCTGATTACATCACACCTCTCTGTATCACATGCGCCCACTGATCTGAAGTCCAGTGTGTTTATATTTATACTGCTGTCTGTGCTGATCTGTAGTGTTGGGTACTCAGATCAAACCTCTGGTTGTTTACACTGTGCACATTATATCCCATTAGTGCACTCATACCTGCACAATATATCTTATCAAACTGTAAATATTGTAGTATATTCAAATCTTTCGATTTCCTGGTCCATCTACGTCCCAACCCTCACCTATGGTCATGAGCTCTGGGTAGCGACAGAAAGAACAAGGTCGCAAATACAAGCAGAGTTTCCTCTGTAGGGTGTCTGGGCTCAGCCTTAGAGATAGGGGGAGGAGTCAGACATCTAGAGGGAGCTCGGAGTAGAGCCGCTGCTCCTTCGTGTTGAAAGGGGTCAGCTGAGGTGGTTCGAGAACTGGATGTGTGCGTGCACGTGTGTGCAGGGCAGGGAGAAGACAAGTGTGTATTTTTGTGTGTATATTTTGAAACCTTGTTGTAGTATCCGTAGGTGATGGTGTTGGGTGTGATTCCAGCCTTCTTCATCTCCAGCAGGACCCGTACGGCGAGGACCGGCTGACCGTACTGACCGCACAGCTGCATCAGGATCCTGTAACACACCTGGAACACACACACACACAGACGTACACACAGTCACTCACACACTGTGGCTTCATAATTCATCCTCTCCATGGTAGAGTAACATGTATCAACAATCTCTGGATCTGCTTTTGTTTCCACTGTTCTCAGCACACCTTGGGGACGAGCTCCTTAAAATAAACCTGAGCTCTTCTCAAATGAAGCTCCAGGAGATTCAGCGCTGGTATGTGGTTGCCTCAAGAAAAAGCACTTTGCCAAGCATCTTTTTTCAAAGTGGTTGAAAATCTCTCAACTTCTCAGCAGGGCGCTGGTGTCGTCACTGCTGCTCATTCTGCTAAGCTGCCAAGGCACTTTATATCAGGACTCCATCAGTGTCTCACCTCATCTGGCAGCACCACCTTGCGGTTCTCCATGTGTTTGAGGACGTCGTAGGCCGTGTGCAGAGCGCGCACCTTCGCGCTCTCCGCCCGCACGAAGGTGGGCAGGTAGATGAACCAGAGGCCGTAACAGTGACCCAGCAGGCACTTGGACCACATGTCCGGCACCGTGGAGTACTTCTGAGCTCGCTTCTGGGCCAACTTGATCTCCTGGGAGGAAAAAGACAAGAGACATCACATCAGATACTGAAGAGGTGAACATGATAGAAACTCTCATTGTTTCCTGGAGGATCAATGTGGGATACATGCACTGGCATTATCAGACGTAATGTTTTTAAAAAGCAGCTTGAGAGGAGGAGTCACTGTTGAATATAAAACTAAGATTAAAAAAGGCAACGTGTCTTTCCACTTTGGAAGAAGAGGTTTAAATAATCTGATTAAACTGGTCAGATTTGAAAATAACGTCTGTAGTTTTTACACTCACAGTCTGTGGCGTCTGAATATTGGATGAGCAGTGAAATATTGATAATGATTCATTAAAATGAGATGATACACAGTAAGACTGTTAACACGGTCTCTGGTCTTCATTCAGGGAAAACTGGGTCACAATGTAAAACCCACTCAGCAGTTCAGAGGTTGGCACCAAGTCTCTGCTCCTCTACTTAATACTGATTCAGAATGGGCCGTTATCAGTGACTGCCACCTTGAACACGGGCCTGTGTTCAGAGAAGAACTCTCATTAAATCAAAAACAGTGTCGTTTGCTATAAATGCCCTGGAAAAGGTGAACTCACCTCTGTCATGTCTATTTTTGTCTTTTTTTTGTTAAACAGTTAGTAGCATCTATAAAAAATGACATGTTTACTTTTCATAGTTGTCTTTTTCTTCGCTTACAGACTAGTTTAATACATTTAAGTTTTCGTATTAGCAGCTCAGACATATTTGTATTATTATATACAGTGTACTTCAGTTTGTGAAGCTGTGTGTTGGTGTACCTGCTTGGTGCGGCGGGGGGCGGGGCTGCTGGGGGCGCTGCCCTTAGCTGGGACCCTCAGCTGGTCCTGAGGCCGGTCAAACAGCTCCGGCTTCAGTGTGGGGAAGGTTTCATAACTGAAAGGAGAAACGTGTCAGTATGTGTAAGACACAGACACACAGGGACGTGTTGTGGTGCAGTTTAAAGACCTTTATGATGGAGCATTGTGTACCTGTAGAGGGCGGGGCACTCGGACCCGTCAGGTTCCTGCGGTTCTTCAGGCGGCATGATGAAGACGGTGTGTTCTCCGCTGTGAGTCTCGTCCAGATCGATCAGCCTCACGTCCTCCGGCTTCTCCACGTCCACCTGGTGACAAATAAATAAATACACTGATGGTACAACTTATTACAGTGAAGTCATGTCTTTGGTTCGGTTTGACAGAAAAACTAAAGGGCTGGAGTCAGTTGCACAAAACATCCTTAAGTTAAGATGTGCTTTAAAGTCGTAGTTAAGGTTTCCTCAAAATAAAATTGGTTGCACAAAACACCCTTAAGTCTTCTCCTTAAAATTTCCTTAAAATGTTCACTTAAGTATTTATGGTGTTCTTCTTGTCTTGGTTTTATACTTAAGGAATCCCTTGATTGTTGCACAAAAGACCTTAGCAACCAAAGCAAGGTAAAAAACACTTAAGGTACCTCTGACTCTATCTTAACTGCAACATGACTGTGTCTATAGTGATGAATGAAAAACATAACACAGCCTGAGAAGAGTGTTCTGCGACCAGGAGAACCTGATGGATACACTTCTGATTTTACACTTTAGACGTGACTAAGTTAAATTTGTCGCTTCTTCCTGCAGTCATTTCCTGTTTTCTGGTATTTGGGACCAAATTTACTTTGAAGTTTATGCTTTCCATGATTGTATTCCTCCTGAAGTTTAATCTATTTTTCCTCTGACCAGGATGGTTTTCTTGTCTTCTTTTCTTCTGCCACTTTTTCACTGTCTAACTATAAGCCAGCTCTCGCAGTAAATGAGTTTTTCTTTAGCTAAGGAAACCTTTAAGGGATTCTGTGCAACTGTGTCAGTCCCTCAGCTAAGGAGACATTAAGCCTTTTAAGTGTCATACTTAAGGAGAAACCTTAAGGTGTTTTCTGCAACAGGTCACTGATTTTCATCAAACTTTGTGGAAGGGTGGAGCACAGGCCAGAGAGGAAGCCATTACATCTTGGAGTGGATCAGAATCCCACCAGGGCGGGTCACTTCTGTTAACGTTGCGAGATGAAGCATTTGGCCTCGGTTGAAAAAATACCATATGTCCTTAAAATCCAGTAGATGGTAGTAAAGTTCAACAGTGACAAAACAGCCGACTATAGAGAGGACTCCATGTTCACAGGTGCCAGTAATCCTCTGTGGTCGCCTTCACATGCAGCAGCTCAAATATCACACAGAGAGCAGTTGTTACGGAGCGCTCAGTGGTTTCAGGGGAGAACCGGTGCAACTAACGCCTTTTTCTCAAACTAAGGTGTGACTATGGAAACATAAATACACACATCACGCAACTAATGATACTCTTACTCACATTCAAATGTGAAGAGTCTGCAATAAATTTGTTTTTAATTTAGTTAAAAAAAACAACATTAAATTAGAGATTACTTTTTTGTGGAATTATCAAGTTAACATCGTGGTACTTTAGTAATTAGCCTTTAGATATCTTAGCTCAATATAACTGCCAATATAACTCCCTTAACTAATAACTGGCTTTTTTCTGGGACTTTTAATCCCATCTCACGGCCTTCACTGGCAAATGGAGTTTGCTGATAAATGCTGCCTGACGACATTATAAAAAGGACCCGACAGAGGAATTAAACACTTTTCTGTCCGTTATGTTTGTACAGGTAGAATTGTGTCTTGATCTGAAGTCTCAGTAAAATACGTTCAGGCTGTGGGACGCTGTGAGTGATAATCGGTGTGATAATCAGTGATGAAACAGCGAATGCCAGTCGTGTTTCTGACCTTCTGGACGCACTCGTCAAAGAACTCGAGGCAGGCATGCCGGGCGCTGACGAAGGAGCACTCCTCGATGAACTGCGTGAACATCTGAGTCCTCGTCAGCTGACTGTAGATCTTCTGCTGCGTCCGATCACGAGACTTCAGGAAACCTGCAGGAAGAATTCATCCATCAGTCATCGGTCACAGTCATCGGTCTTAAATTTATCTTCCACTGTGACTGAAGTTTGATAAGTAAACCTGATACATGATACTAATCCTGTGTGAGCTACTGTCCTGCTCCTCCTACTGTAAAGAAAGATTTGACAAAATTCTAGTTGATGTGTTTGGATTTTACTTTATTAGTTTCAATGCCTGTGACCTGTGTTTGTGCAAATGCTTGCACACAAACTAAGTTTTCTCCAGGTGGTAAATAAGAGTTAAAGTTGGTGCCACTATTGGTGGAGAACACGCTACGATATCTCAGTAAAAATCTGACCATATCTTCATGTTATCAACTGAACAATCCAAAAGGATGAATCTTAATAATTCTGAAGACAATGAGTGTTTGTGATGTACCACTATAAGAACAAAATCTAGACTTGTACAAGAGAAACATAAAGAGGAAGAGGAGGGACCATTTCAAAAGCCAAACTGAACATTTTTTGGCTCAGAGAAAAACAAATCAATAAGAGCTGAATCATGTGTTCAACACTAATCTCCTAAAATCTGACACACTGGACCTTAAATCCTCAACAAATTTTATTTTGTTGTCTTTAATAATGGGCTGCTCTGAATCCTTCTTCTGGAAATTAGAAAACTGTTGCATCACACAGTCAGTATCATCATGTTCTGAAAAAGTGAAAAGTTTGAAAGGATGATATGTCAGTGAGCGCTCACCCTGCAGGTTAAAGAGGGAGCTGCAGTCGGTGGTGGTGTCTGACGGCGCCTGGGTGATGGGCAGCAGGAAGGTTCTGTATCCTCGCAGCAGGCAGCTCATGAAGCGAAGGAACGCCTCCTGGATCTCCAGCTCCAGCTGCTTCTGACTCCTGTAGATCTGATCGTAGTCCGTCAACAGGAACTCCAGCGTCGCCTCCTCCTGACCGGGAGTGCAAACTGCAGCGATGAGGAGGAAGAGGAAAGAGGAACATTTTCTGCTCAGACGAACTCAGTCTGCTTAAGATGTGTCAGATATTTCATGTTTTAAAATGTGAGGACACAGCAAATAAAAAAATAAAATAAGTAAGAAAAAGGTGAACTGTGGAGAAATGTTAAACACAAAGCAGTTCTCTGAGTTCTGTCTCTGAGGCTCTCGTCTCGTCACTTTGTTTTGAGGACTCACTTTTCTCCAGGGTCTTGTGGAGGTTAGTCAGGGTGTTGAACAGCATCTTGCCGGGCTTCCTGGGTAACGATCGCCATGACAACGGCTTCTTGTCCTCTGACCTGAGACACGACACGAAGCAGAAGTCAGACGAATAGTTTCAAGGTGGTATTTGTTTGTTAGAGGAAAATGTATGAGTTTTAAAAGTTGTTAACTTCAGCATATTTCAGTAAAATATTTCACCTCAACTTAAAAGATAAACATAATTTTTTTTCACCTGGAAATAACAACATAAAATTAAAGAAAACACATTACTTGAACTACACATAATTTAGGGACATTATTTGCCCCCTTAATGTTAAATTTATTGTCTATTGTCTATTTATTATAAAAAAACAATTAATGAAATCAAAAATTCCTCGTCAGGTAGGTGGGGCGGTATGGAGGAGGGAAGCTGCCAAAAAAAATATATATATAAAAATGACAAAATTTATTTATTTATGACTTGATAAATAAATAAATAAATAAATAATAAGTCATTAAATGTACCAAATATTAATAATAATTGTAAGCATTAATTTATTTATATAATGTGACATAAATTCAAATTTCTGTTTTAATTTGCTTCTTTATTTATTTACCTTTGTATCAATGCCGCTTTTCCTTTTCATTAACAATTCTCAGAATTATTTTAATGTATGTAAAAAATGAATACATTTATTTAAAAACTAATTTAAAATAACAAAAAACATGCAAAACATTACAAACATCAAAAAAAAAATATAATAATAAAACAATAAAAATAAATAAAACTAAAACTAAATATGAAAATAAATGAATAGAGTAATTAATACAAAGGTAAAGAAGCAATATGAAACAGAATTATCCATTTTTGTCACATCTAATGAATTAAGTAAGGCATTTTTTTATTTAAAATATAATTTTTGGTACATTAAATGGCATACTATTTTTTTAATTTAGTCATTTATTTATTTTTGATTTTTAGTCTTGAAAGACAACCCTGCACACTGCTCTTGCTCAGTTTATAAGTTATACTAACATTTCGGTCCTTCTGGATCTTTGTCAAGGGTGTTTTAAAACAATAAAATACTAAACACTAGTTAAATACTTAAGGTCCAGAGGAACAGAAACCTTTGTATAACTGACAAATTTGTGAAGCTGAGCGAGGGCAGTGTGCAGGATCTTCATTTCAGGACTTAAGTGACACTGGATGTGCAAATATCTCTCTGTCAGCATCTTTTTTTTTTTAAATTTGCCTATGTCTCTGCCTCTGAGCTGTCCTTAAGAATCCTCATTCACTGGTTGAGCTCACGAAGCCCAGCACAATTATGGACTCACTGGAAGATGGTGTTGGTGTCCAGGTCGACACACACCACATCAGCAGGGGGGTCGTACAGGTCGAAGTAACTGGAGTGGACGCCTACAATGAAGGGCATCGGCGCCAGCAGCACGTCGGCCATCTGCAGCGGACACAGAGGGATGTAGGGACAGAGCCAGCGCAGTGGGAAACTCATCTGGAGACAGAGACACGGACAGATTAAGATACAGACCTTATTATATACAGTCAGTGTGTGTGTGTGTGTGTGTGCGTGTTAAGTCTTACAGAGACGAGGGCCTCGCTGACAGAGGTGAGGACGTCGGGGCGCAGTGAGTGCAGCAGCAGTTTGTGTTCAGTGAGGACGGCGAGCAGCAGTGTGCAGGCGTTCTCTGGACCGAGGTTCTGCAGCAGCTTCAGGAAGCTCGCACCACTGTCACACAAAAATTACAATTATTATATTATTATTTACAAATTAAATAACTGTAAATAAAAATAATATTTGTAATAATAATATTAATTTAAAAGGTAAATTAGGAAAAAACACAACAGAAAAAAATTATATAAATACATAAAATTATTAGTGAACTCATAATTAGAAAACAAATAAAGATAAATTACATAAGTCCAAATAGCACTAATTATTATTTATTATCAACGATTTTCAAATATAAATAAAAATAGAGTAAAAAAAATAATAGGTGCGGTGCTTGTCAGTTTTTAATCTTTACATTTTAAATACAAATATTCACTTTTCTTTTTTATAGAAACTTCAGCTTTATATTTTATCTTCCACACGTCAAGACATCCTACATCAAAACAGATCTCAGAACCTGCACACACATCACCACGTCCTTTACACACACACACACACACACACACACACAAACACGGTAATTACAGATGAAATCCTGTTTCTGTGAAGGTTGAATGCTTTTTTTAATCGTGAGTCACTTTGGATAAAAAGCGAACTCGACTGCAGTGAACTGACCTGAGTGGGAGCGGAGAGGAGACCGGCTGGCAGAGCAGCAGGTTGTCGTACGGAGAGAGCTGGAAGATAAATATACAGCATTATCACTGAATACATCACACACACACACAAACAAACAAACACAGCGACAGTTTTGGTTTCTACGTGATTTCACAAGTCATTTACTGTTTAATTTACAACTTGTTTTCAAAGTTTTGGCTTTCGTTCCTTCAGTTCAGAGAAGATTTTACTCACCAACTTTATTCCTGGAAGGTGAATTTAAATCAAACGTGGGCGCAGCAAGCCGTTAGACAGGTTTTATACAAATATACAGTTCATCTAAATCATTTATCAGGTAATAAAAGAGAAAGTATAAAATGACAGTTTGGATGATGTGTCCTCTGTGGATCTGACACTCTGAGTGGACTCTTCTCCAGCTGTTGTAGAGCTGATGTTGGTGAGTAAAATGTTCTTTTAACTGAACTGAATGATGGCCAAAAACTTTATTTAAATTTTCAGACATGTTTGGCTCAAGATGAAAAATTTATAATAATGATATCCAATGTAAATATTTACATTTAAATAAAATCCTGACACAAACAAACACAAAATTACGACCTGAGATAAAATCATCCTGCATGCAGCTGAGTGAAATCACATCTGAACCTGATAAATCATCTGCAAATTATTCTGTAATTGGAAGAATTATGTCAAGAAATTTTGTTTGCTAATTGGAGCCGATCACTGAAAGGGCTGTTTCTGATTGGACACAGTTACCAAGTTCAGGTTGGGACCAGATCACCGCCTACATCCTGTTGAAGGAGGAAGTGAAGGACTGAAGTCAGAAGGTGTAAAAGTCTGTGCTGGTTTCCTCTGCTGCTGTTTTTATAAACCTGTCATGTCAAATATGTTTTTTCTTTTCTGTGTGATTAGTATTTTATTGATTTCTTCTGTAAACACTGTCACATTTGGGTCAACAAATCAAATGACTCCTGCAGAAAATAAAATCAAAAAGTCATATGACTCAAATAATTAATTAAATACATAATAAAAACACACAAATCAAAGGTTTGTAGTTTTTCTTCTTTTCTGTGTTTAGGTTTGAACAAGCGGTTCTCTGAAAACTCTTCTGAAAAGGTTTTTTTTCTGCAATGTGGACTTTAAAAGTCGTGCATTATTTTTGATAACCTGATGGAGACCACACAGACAGCATATAGAAGGTTCGAGTCTGTACCTGAACGAGGATGCGAGGTCGCTGTGGGGAAGGAAACGGGACATTGTGCATGAAGCTGGAGACGTGTCTGCAGAGACAGAAAATCAGAAGCAAACAAAATCAGTATCGATAAAATCAAATATCAATCACATGTCTGAAAAATTCAAAATAGTTCATATCATGTAAAATAACAGGGAAATGTGGTTAAAGCGACCTTAGCTTGATCACTAATGTTATCACAAGCAAAACACTATTCTGAGTGGATCTGTCGGATGGTTAGCTTCACAAATTACTTCCTGCTAATGTGATCAGTGATTATAGCTTGTTTATTATGGCAAACAATCCTGATTTAGCCAACAATAACTCCAGATTCATGGACGTTTATTTGATCTGATGATGCTGATATCCTTGGAAGCATTAGTCACTCTGAATTTAAAAATATGGGTTAGGGGTCGACACATAATCGGCCTGGACGATTATCGGGGCCGATATTATGAATTTTTAGGGTTATCAGTATCTGTGATTTTTTTCCACCGATATGTCGATATACAGTTTTGTTTTCCTTAGCTGCGCTGTTTTGCCCCTGGTGTGTTTCTCACTGCCTGCATGAACCACTTTAGGCTCTTAAAAGCAAACTCAGGACCTACCCTTTTTAGCCTGGCTTTTAATTTAACTCTCCATTCATTTGTTTACTTGTCAGAGTGTTTTCCGAAGTGCTGCTGGCAGCTCCCTGTACTGTTTCACTGAAAAAGTTCTCAGAATAAATATGTGCTTCATTGCATTTGAATGTAGTGCTTTGTCAGTGTTTTTATTTTTTTATTCTGTGTCAACAATGATTTTTACAGAAGACAAATATGGGTTGTAAATATCGGCTATCGGTACCTCTGTTTCATAATAACTGGTATCGGCATCGGCTCTGAAAAAAACATATCAGTCAATCCCTAATATGGGTATCATGTAGGGCTGGGCGATATAATGACTTTGTACGATATATCGATATATTTTTAAGCAACATACTGTATAGATCCAGACAGGGGTGTCAAAGTCATTTTAGTTCATGAGCCACATTCAGCCCAAACTGATCTCAAGTGGGCCGGACCAGTAAAACCACTGCACAATAATCTATAAATAACAAAACCTCAAACAGTGTAAAAAAAAATATCCTCCATTTACAAACAGAGGATGAAGAGCCTGAGATGTTGTAATAAAAATATGAGTGTGTCTGTTGTTCAGTGTGCATATCTTCACACACTCACCCTCAGAGTTTGGCTCTGATGCTATGTTGTCAGTAATAAGGTAGCTCGCTCTCACAGCTGCGTCACTGATCTCTCGGCTATGGCTAAAAACAAAGTGCTATTTTCTCAGACCTGCCAACAGTCCACAAATCTTCTCTGTTTTCAGTTCGCCTTGCAAGTTCCTGTATTTTTCACGCCTGTTTCTGAGCCTGATAGTGGTGCTGAATAATATGTTGCCTGAGCACTGAATGCTGTGAACACACTGAGCACACTGGCTCCAAATTAACCTCGGTAAAGAAAAAGGAACTGGTCCATTTTTCTTGGAAAACCCAACTTTCTGCTTCCACTTTTTGACAAAGACATTTTCCACTGGTGGCTCCTGTATAAGCATTTTATTGAAAAATTGGACTTAATGACGTCTCTGCAGTTTTAGCACTTTGCAGAGTCATCCAGTGAGCCTGACTGGACCAGCTGGTGTGTCAAGTTCTGGCTCGTGGGCCATATGTTTTTATCTAGACAATACTGTTTATATACATATAGGTTCAAGATGCTTTACATGACACTGTCCTTCTGAAAAGATCCCAGTGTGCATCTCTCCTCTGTCACACTCTCCACACAGCTCTGCCCCACTCACAAGTTCTGCTTCATCGTGTCAGGTGAGCGTTTGTTTGCTAGTTTGTATACCCACGTTCTCCTTGGTAACCTACCTATCTAAGTAGTAGTGCAACCACCTCATCAACTCCCACTACACCACCGCCTTCACCTGACAGATAAATAACTCGTCAATAAAACATCAGCAGACATGATTTAGTCCAAAAAGAAAATTCTGAGCACTGACTTTTCGAGCGGCAGGACGTGAGGTCCGGAGATGGAGTATCTGTAGATGAAGGTGAGGAACTTCTGGAAGACGGTGAAGAAGGGCCAGTGGGAGAGGACGCAGATGCTCTTCTTCACCTGCAGGCTGCGGTTGGTGATCGGCCGCCGGTCGACCACGCTGAGCAGGCCGAGCCTCACGTTCTGCCGCTCCGACAGCAGCTCCCTGGGGAACGACTCGTAGAACTGGATGGCTGCTCCGTAAACCTGCAGGGAGAACGGGGGGAGTTTTCACAGACAGGAAGAGCTTTAAATATATGGACACAGAGCTTTAATGGGTCAAACGCGATCTGAGTCCAGATTCTGAACAGGTAAAGATCTGCTGCGTTCATGTGTCACTTCACGGCTGTACATGTTTCAGGTTGAGCTCATTTTAACTCCTTTATGTCCTGATAGGTAGTTTAATCTACAGCGATGGTGACTGTCTGTTAAAAACACATCAGCTAAGACTGAAATGTCTATTTAGAGCCATACTGTAAATAAAAACATCTTCACATCCTTATCTGGGGCCGGGTCTCGGGGCAGCAGGCCAAGCAAAGCACCCCAGACGTCCCTCTCCCCAGCAACACTTTCCAGCTTCTCCTGGAGGACCCCGAGGCGTTCCCAGACCAGATGAGATATATAATCCCTCCAGTGTGTTCTGGGTCTGCCCCGGGGCCTCCTACCAGTGGGACGTGCCCAGAACACCTCTAACAGGAGGCGCCCAGGAGGATCCTGATCAGATGTTGAACCACCTCAACATGAAGGAGCAGCGGCTCTACTCTGAGCTCCCTCCAGATGTCTGACTCCTCCCCCTATCTCTAAGGCTGAGCCCAGACACCCT